TATCCTGGTATGGAATTTCATGCAGGAAATATTAGTCCAAACAGTTAAATAACAGCTCATGAATACAAATTCGTAATTAATTATGTTGTTAATTAAAGACTCTAAATAATTTATAACTGTGAACGAGTTTGGTCCTATCGATATTCGCCAACGCCTTTTTTTCTTGCTTTCTGTTTAGTCTCGTTACTGTACGGAATCGAAATTAAATCTCCATTGGTAAACTGTATTATTGGACACCCAACTATTATCTTTGTCTTTACAGCTTCTCTCTTATAAGCTCTCTTAAAAGTTTCGAATTCCGTTGAAACTTCCAATGCTAAGAAAAGAAAAGAAATAGGAAAGAGGGATTATGAGAATATAAAATGACGCTGCTCCTTTTATCCATTTCGTCCATTAATTTTTGTTAGATTATTTAATATTTGCTCATCTCGCGTATTCCATCCGCAATTCAGTAAATTGTATAATTAATTTTCAGTAAATTGTATAATTAATTTATTGCTGTAATGGAAACTGAGAATAGAGATTAAATGCAGATGGAATATTGAAATGTGTGAAATCGAATATTAAATAATTTTGATCTTTATTTGAGGACAATTCAACAGGAAGAAAATAGTCATGAAGCAGCCATTTATTTCATCAAGATAGCATAATAGCCTGTGCAATATTCTCCAAATGCAACGGAATTTGTAGGGTTAATGGAAAACCAGAATTTTGACTCGGAAAAGCCATCCCGGAAGGAACGCGGATGGAATGTCTTGGTCGTTTCGTTCACACGCGCGTCTCCCGAAGTAAATCGCAAATGGAAAACGCGCTACGTGTGGAAGTACAATGCGACGCGACGCGACGCGACGCGACGCGACGCGACGCGAAAACGAGAGAAGGTTCGCGCGCGCGTTGATTGATTCGATAGACTCGACGTTATCGTCGCGACGAAGGGTGAGCGAGACGATGAGCTTGGGAAAAAGGGGCCAATCTAACCGCCGAGAAATAAGCAGAGATTACTTTAGTATGGTGACAGAGGCAGTGATAGCAATATCGCTGAATTTCCGAGACGCCGCCAGCTTGTCGTCGTCTCCTCCACATCGAGGCGCGACGTTCCTCGACGCTCTTCCGTCGTGTGTCTCTCTTGCGGGCATCATTGAGCCGCAGATTAGAAAAACTCGTGCTCTCCCAACGACAGAGGATGCGCTTGAGGAAAGTAGCTGCCGAGATTATTACCGCTTGGACGGAGACGAGCGAGTCTTTACAAGCGGAGTGACGCGCGAAAGCGGCCGCATCGTTTGAAGGAGAGACAAACATGTCGAAGAACCTGGCAAAAATCCACTGTCCACAAGCATCACGGCGCGATCCAGAGGCCGAATAATCATTTTAACTGGAAGACTCGACGAAGCTCGACGAGCGAGCTAAAGCGCGTCAGGTTATTTTCCCGTCATTTTCCGACCGAGCGGCGCGGAGCGCCGAGACTCTTCCTCTGTCGACCATTTCGCGTCTTTCCTGTCCTTGCTGTGATCACTTTTTTCTCTCTCACCTTTACGTCCAAAAAATACAGGAGCATTACGCACGAAATTCGTGGAAATTCGAATTGTTCAACGTGCGACTCAATCGTTGCTATGCAGAACGCGACGCGCACAAGTGATGACAGCGAAAAAATATATTGAATATTATACGCGACGTGTGTGCATTCTTCTTGCGCATAAGTCCTTCATTGCGCATTCTCTATTGCGATTGATCCTCAAAACGACCTGTTTCATCGCAACGATTAAATATGCGAATATATATACGTGCGCATCCGTATTGCGGTGAAATAATTTCATATTTAAACAGTGCGCACAAGGGACGAGAGGGACGCCATCGCGGTCTCGTTGGCGCGGCTTATCTGCACCCGAGCGCATTTATTCGAATTAACGCGATAAACCGGATTATTATTTAGAGAGACGCATTCTCTCTCCTTCCCTCTCTCTCTCTCTCTCTCTCTCTCTCTCGCTCCCTCTATCAGCTGCACGCACGAGCTGAGAGCGTAAAAAACTTCACCGCCGCAGCCGGTGAAGGTATCGAGAGACTTAACGGCGGTACGGGGAAAGCAGGGGGCGTGGGTCGGTTGAACGAGAGAAGGGAGGAGGGGTGTACGATGAAGAAGAAGGGTGCAATTTAGTCGGCGTAAGCCCTAAATCGAGTAGCAGAGGAGCAGTTACGGCCAATTAAGCATCCACGGCGTCGAATCAATTATAGCACTCTAGTATATCGGCGCGAAAGTCAGAGGAGTCGACGCTCGCGCGAACGCGCAGCCGCATAATATGTCTCGTGCGGCATAAGTTTTGCAATCAGCGCGACACACAGTTTCGTGTTTTGCGGAAATTACTCGTCAAATTCGGACTGTCACGCGAAACAATATCCACGTGTCGTCATATCGCCGATCGCTAGCACCGATGGCGACGTGGTGTGCGTTAATAATTAAACGAGACACGAAAAGCGGGAAACGTGCATCGCCGCGAATCTCCGTGGCGAATCAATCGTATGAAAATACAAAAAAAAAAAAAAAAAAGAAACGAGGCTGGCGTAAAACTTTTTTATTTCCACTGACGAAAACAACGAATCAAGCGTCCTCGCGTGACTCGTCGTTAGCCCCGCGTCACCCCGCAACATTCCGCGGACGGCGCGAGAACACATCTAACGAAGGACGCATGTCAGCGGAGTTGTTCGCCAAGTAGCGCTTGATTATGCTCGAGATTGATCACGAAACTGATATCCCTGCGTGATACGCTTCACGCAGAAATGCGTGCTCACGACGGATAACCGGCGGGCGTGGATCGATCGATCGGCGGGCGAGATGCCGCCGCGAAAAGTCAAAAGTGAAACAACGTATAACGAGATTTGTCGCGATATGCACTGTAGCCGGCGTGATGTGCATTAATAATTCGAGTTTCAACAAGCTTTTCTCTGCGCTTTTCCCTCCTTTTTTTCTTCTCGTCGTACGTACCGTCGTGAAACCGCGGAAGGATTAGACGCGACCGTCGATAATATCCCTCCCCCTCTTCCTCGTACCAAGAGATCTCATTTACATAGTTATAGCAATATTTCAAAGCCACCCGCATCGAGTCCGCGCCCAACCATCCACCGAGGGCGCAGCTTCGAGAAGTAACGATCAGCCTGCTAGCGTCGCTTGCGAGATTCGCGGAGTAACCGTCCCGTTTAATCGCGCCTCTCGATACTCGACTCGATCTACCGAGACCGTAACCGGTACGTTATCTAATCGCGCGGGCAATTTCGCTTTCAATCGTGTGAAACGAGAATACTCGCAGTAGTGACACGCTGATATGTCCCGCGATATGTTCGGCGATAGCGGTGACGTTAAGAAAGTTTTCGAATATCTTTGCCGACGCTAGTGACAAGCGGAGGAAAGTTGAGAAATTATCGCGTTTGATTTCCCGCCTGGTAAACGGAGCGTACGATTTCCGTTCGCGGTTTAGCGCTTCCTCCGCAGGACGAAGAGAGAGAGAGAGAGAGAGCAGCTCGCGCTGCATCTGCATTGTTTACAAAAGCTAATGTCAACTCGAGGCGACGCAGGATTACCATATAGACCACAAAACTCTTCATATTCCCTATAGTTCTACCGAGCTCACCTTCGCCCTTCGTCCTTATCTACACTTACCTGCTATAACACACTGTAACACTATAACACCTATTATAACACATTCGCTTTAACTGACGTAGGACAGCAAAGTGCTTCCCTCTTTTTTCTTTTTCTCTTACCTACATATCCTTTTGAATGATAGGCCGCCGCACCGTCCGGTTATCAATTAAATGGCAGTATCGATAAAACCTTTTGTCGGGAAAAAGTGGAATGCCATTTCAGGCGCGCAATCACGGAGGTTACTTCGGAAATAACGAAAGGACCCATTTGACCCACGCACCGTAATTTCAGTGTGTCGAATCGTTCCGATATTTTTCGTCGCCTCATATCAAGAGAGAGGGAAAGAGGAGGAGAGAGAGAGAGAGAGAGAGAGAGAGAGAGAGAGAGAGAGAGAGAGAGAGAGAGGCGAGTGCGCTCTGACAAATGTTGGTACTTTTCTGCTGGACCGGAAGATTAACCAACGAACCGACGGAACGCATAATCGCCGACCGCGTTTCTTCTCTTCTTCTTCCCTATTCCTTCCAATCCTTTCGTACGCCCGTAGCTATAAAGAATGACGGGAACGGGTAATCCGTTCGCTTAAATACAAAGATTCGAGGGGAAACTTTCGTTATTCCGACAAACTCTCGTCTTTTTCTCTCCCTCTCCTCCTTTGTCCCTTCCCCATCTGTCTCTCTTTCTCTCTCTCTCTCTCTCTCTCTCTCTCTCTCTCTCTCTCTCTCCCGGTAGAAACAAGCACAAACAATATCGATTGCCTCTTTCACAACGCGATATCAGTTAGCCGTTCCTCTTCCATCGATCGAATTAGTCCAATTGACCGTGCGAGTAGCATATCGCCTGCATTGCGGCGAGTTTCGTTCTTTCTTTTTTTTTATTTTCTATTCTTCCTCCTCTTTTTCTTTTTCTGTTTTTAATCCATCACGCCGCGCCAGTCGCAATTCGCGTATCTACTCTCTGTTTACGAGTAAACGCGGAAGAGAACACGTAACATATCGCACTTTATACAAATATCCTTCGGCTGACGCAACGAAAAACGATCCGGTCTACACCCGCGACGCCGTATAAAAATTTGATCGCTGTCGCGGGACAATCGAGTTTTTCAATGACACGTACCTCCGTACTATATTTACTGAGAAAATCCGTCGCGCGGTAAATCACACGGCAGTTGATACGACCTGGCGAGCACCGGAGGACAATAATTCTCTCCCCCGTTGCTCTCCCGCAACCCCTCCTGACTCCTTATGCCCACGTGCACGCTTTTTCTTACCGAGCACTTTTCATGCGTGGAATGACCCGACCTTGTTGTCCGTCGCCGTACAGCCGACAATTAATGCAGCCTCTCCAAATGTTCCTTTTATTTCTGTTTCAGTTACTGAGAAAGAGATCCGTCAATGGTAAGCCCAACTTCGAGGTAATGAGGCGACGTGCTAGGTAATGAGGCGCGCGAACTTGTAGAAATTTCGACAAGATGATTAAAGATCTCGTTAATGTCAGAATGTAATTTGTTATGAGAGAAAGACAGAGAGACAGATACAGAAGCTGTATCGATTCCATCTTGCGATAAATCAAAATGTAAAAAAAAAAAGGTTATTAAGATAGAGCGAAAAATTCGTGATTTTCGACAACGTGAAATACAATGCAGTCACTTTATTACTTAGGCACAAAGGATTCCTGAAAGACTGCCCTGACGGACTGTTGACGGAACAGGTATGCGATACTCTCACGAATAAACTCTATTCATATTAATCATTTTCTCCTCCCGTCGTACTGTAAGAATAAAAACAGAAAAACAAAAAGATATAAAAGCTATCAGAGTCTCATGTTATGAATTGTCGAGTGAATGTATTTTACTCGACGCGAAATGTCAGTGAGACATGTAAGGAGACAACGCGGAGGAGAGAAGGGTTAGTCGGCCCAAATCAATAACAAAGAAAAAGCTGCACGGCGCACTCGCGTGTTTTCAGGGCTTCATAAAGATCTACAAGCAGTTCTTCCCCCAGGGTGACCCGTCAAAGTTCGCCTCCCTCGTCTTCAGGGTCTTCGACGAGAACGCCGTGAGTTTCGGCCACATCGTGTGTACATACACGTCGCGGCTTTCCACGAACCCTCACGTTCGTTTAAGCTCGCGTTCGCCATGCAAGACGTTCGCGTGCAAGACGTGTCACGCAAACGCTCTCAGCCGTCTTGCTAAAATTATTTTTCTAGCCCGCCCTCGCCATGTCTTTATTGCCGTTTAACCATTGACGGGGCATTTATTCAGACTGGCGTTAGATAAGAACTGGAGGGCGTCCTGTTGATTTACATAACGAGAATCGCACGCTGAATAAATTTCCACGTTGGAGTGAGGAGGCGAGCGTCGATATGGCGGACGCGAGCTAATCCGCTAATGTTTAATCAACGCGCACGTTCGCTTGCCGAGTGAACGAGCGAGCCAGCATTGGCATTCTCGCGGAATCGCGTATGTTTGTCGACGATATAGAGTAGATGGTATACGCGAGTCGGGAGTTTTCTTCGGATTTCTCTCGCGAGTCGGCTTAAACGCGCTGCGGTTCGAAGTGTATTTGAGAGAGAGAGAGAGAGAGAGAGAGAGAGAGAGAGAGAGAGAGAGAGAGAGGGAGGGAGAGAGAGAGTGAGAGAGAGAGAGATAAAGAGAAAGATAGAAGGAATATTATTTACTCGGTGTATCGTTCGGTAGCTGTTCGACTATCAAGAGGCAGCTGCTCCGTCCGTCCGTTCATCTGTCTACGACTGAAACGCGATCGCGAAGTGATCCTTGACGGCGGAAGAGAAACACGATCGATAGGCGATGTAACGCGACTCACGACAAATAAGGATACGCCGGATTGTTGTTTCAGGACGGCACGATAGAGTTCGAGGAGTTCATAAGAGCGCTCTCGGTGACGTCACGCGGCAACCTGGACGAAAAACTTCACTGTGAGTACTTCTCGCTCTCCTCTTATTCCTCTCGAGAAACTTATCCACTCAAATCTGGAAGAGTTCTCTCGCGAGCTATTCTGTTTGCCCATCTACTTGGGATACATCGCGGATACGATTGGTGAAAAACCTCCGCGTCCTATTTGACGCGGTCGCGACAGCTAAGTCGAAGACTTACGAGCCGTCCGATCGTATATGGGAAGAGGGAAAAATTCACCGCCCCATTTCCTCTCGAAACTGCTCGCAATCGAATCGAGATTTCGCGATACACGTACTCGTATGATCGCTCCGCAATTTCTGAGCAATATCAAAAATATCAAGAATAAAATAATTGCTTTAAAAACAACGATAATTTACGTACGTTGCAAAATTCGACAAAATTAGCTTGTTCACTGTCTCCCCCCTCCGGTGCTTCCTCAAACAAGTGACTGACAAACCGATACCTACGCTTGTTGCGAACGCCTCGAGAAGGGAGATTCGCGCGGTCCGCCGAGAATTGGCACACATAAAATTCGAGACGAGCCATAGAATATGATCGCCGCAGTGTGAGACGATAAACGGACGGGACTTTCCCTCGATTATCCCTCTTGCGAATCTGCACTATCATACAACGATGACAATTCCGACGAAAGTGGACAAGCGGCAATAAGATGTGCAGCTCCGCACGACGATATCGAAATTGCAGAACGGGATATCGTACGGAGGAGAGGAAAGTTCATAGTGAACTCGCGAGAGAACCGAGCTGTACGAAAAGCTACGAGAGATAACCCCATCGCGGGGTTTTTCTCAATCCCCTCCCTCCCTTTTCCTCCGTAAAGAACTCGGATTTCGGAATTTGTATTCCCCAGGAATTCACTCGCGAAAGTCAATTGTTTTTCTCTCTTTCCTCGTTTTCCTCTTTTCAGGGGCCTTTCGTTTGTACGACGTGGACAACGACGGCTTCATCACGAGAGACGAGATGTACAATATAGTCGACGCGATATATCAGATGGTGGTGAGTGCGTTCTTTTCAAAGAACTCGCCGGGTCCGCGAGGAAGCCCTCGATGTGGAGTGCTCGGCCGGTCGTTTCGCAATTTAGCCGCTTTTAATACGCGTTCTCGCGTGTGCCGCAAGCGCACACGTTCCGTTTCGTATGAAAAAAGAAAGAGGCAAAATGGAAGGAAAAGCAAAAAAGAGCCCATTGTCACGCACGTCGCACTTTCACAAACGCGCGGTTTGTACAGCTCATTAAATAATTGCAAGCAGAAAACGTTTGCACAGACAGAAAGCGTTCCCACCGGGCGCGGCGGTCGGTCCGTCCCGGCCGAGCGGTTCACATCGCTGCAATTGTAACGACCGGCCGCGTATTCTCCGATATCGGTTCAATATTTTACCTCAACGAGCGCGTTATACCGCGTGCAACTCGCAACCTCCAGCGGAAGTTGTAAGCCCTCTCGCGCACAGTTTCCACCGGGTATAGCTGCAAGCGAATTAGACGAGCGAGCTCTCCTTAATGCGTCTAAGTGCGTGCGCGCGCGCGCGCGATATATACGACTTTTTTCAAGTTTTAATGTCATCTTCCATTATGCGCATAATGGCCTTTTGTACCGCGCGCATGCACGATAATTACGTAACTAGCTGCTAAAACTTTAATTGTTTCGTCTGTGAGACGTGAACATTGTGTCGCGCCGAAGACGTCCCACCGGTGGCGAAGTGCGCGCGACACGCTTCTCTTCAGCTAACAGCTCGAAGGAACTTGTCTCCACGCGCGTTCTAATTAAATCGCCGATACGAGCCAAGTCACACACGTCGTCATCGCGTCGTGATTGCGCGCTTTCGGTCGGAGTTTGCCGAAATTCACGTGACCGATAGAAAAAAGTCGCGGACGTTTGCGAGAAAACCATCGCGAGAGACACGTCCGGACGAATTCCGGCTGCAACGGGAAAATTCTACCGCGAGAGAGAGAGAGAGAGAGAGAGAGAGAGAGAGAGAGAGAGAGAGAGAGAAAGAGGGATGGCCTTGTCACGTAGATTTCAACGTAAAATTCGTTCGACGCGGCGGCCACAAATTCCGCGTCTCGCGACAACAACCGCCATTAATCACCTGAGGTCTCGTTAATATTAATTTCAAAGAGAAATACAGCGTGACATATTATGTGCGCACCCGTGGCTTACACACGGTAATCCATAAACATGCGGGTGGTGGCCAACAAAGGCACGGCGCCGAAACTTTGATAACACATATCGACTTTGGAACAATAAAGCTGACAAAGCCGCGTAATAATACGATTGAGAGCTAAATGCAGCCGATGGATAAAGCGATACACGGATTACGAGGCAGCGATTCGCCGTGAATTAACGCGAATATCGGTCCGATTTCTATTAAAATCGCGAATTCCGCAACAGACTCGAATAAAAAATCAATCGTTGCGCGACGTCCATCGGCCGGCCGTTATTGCACATGACTTTGTTCGCGAAGTTGCTTGCTGTTTGTTTAAACAAAGATTGTCCAAGTTCCACGAGATTACGATAGAGCATCGTTCCCGCGAGCATCGGTTTCTGCGATCGATTAATCGCGCCGAGATATTTATCGTCAGCTTTCAACGTTCAGTCTCGAGAGAGACAGAGAGAGATTTGTATTGTCCGTGTGGATAAGGAGAAATCATGATCTTTAGCCGCTGTAATGAGAACGGCGGAACGGCGCGGGCAGGTGGCCCCAATTAATTAACGGAACTTTAAGCGCCGGATAACGTGGAATGTTCCAGGGACAGCAGCCGCAATCCGAAGACGAGAACACGCCCCAGAAGAGGGTCGATAAGATCTTCGATCAGATGGACAAGAACCATGACGACAAACTCACTCTGGAGGAGTTCCGGGAAGGCAGCAAGGCTGATCCGAGGATCGTGCAAGCGTTGTCGCTGGGCGGCGAGTAACCTCCGATTTCCATGGGCGAGCCATCGAAACCGGGCGATTACGTCGTTGTCATTGTCGTAATTGCCGACGCGAGCTGGGCGAGCCGCACGCCCCGATTAATCGGCCGATGAGGAATGACGACCTGAGAAAGGCAAGTCCACGTCCGCGCGGCTTCGGCATGCACGTAACAGATAGGCAATAAACGCGAGCGAAACGCGGCGTCCGCGAGACGCGGAGACTCGACGCGAGTGTTTCCGGGGGTGGTCTCTCCCTCTCTTCTCATCCTCCGTCTCCGCCGGCGTCGCCGCCGCGGAGGAGATCCTAGAGAGAGTCTATCGCACTTCTTTTTTCTACACTCTCGTTCTCGGAGCAGATCGGTTTCCATCCCCCTTTGGCGAATCGATCCCTCCGTCTTCTTCGTTAACGATCAATTCTCAAGAATCTCGGTGCTAAGTAGTAAGTGTCTCTAGCGTTCGAGTAATCGTAGCTTTCGAGGAGACCGGACGTGGGGCGAATTTTGCAGTTTTCGATAGGAGAGCGCGTTGCAGGCCTTTAATACCAGACAAACTGTTACGAACGATGAAGGTATAAATCATTTAGAGGAGAATTCCCCCCCTCTTGGTCGGTCGCCGTTAATCGCCTCCCGAGTCGAAAGCGACTCCTGTCCCATTCTCTCGTCTTTCCTTCTCTCTCTTTCTCTCTCTCTCTCTCTCTCTCTCTCTCTTCGCTTTTCTTCCACTTCGCTCTTATTCCGCCGGCGAGAAGATAATATCGCGGTAATACAAGGATAACGAGTAAAATTCAAAGACACTCGACGAGCGTGCCGCTCGAATTTCAATGAAGCTCGCCGGGGTTATTTCCGATTGGAGGGTTGCTCTACATTAGGGGAAAAGAGGAGGGGGATGGGTAGATGGGTGGATAGGTAGGTACATAGCAGGGAAATTGCAGCGGGGGTGAGCATTCGAATCGGCGGACAACTGATCGCGTATTGTTCGGTGCGTTGCGTGCGGCGGCGGCGGGGACGGAGGCGGCGACGAGCAAAAATTCCAAAAGTCACAATGTGTGCTACGTACTTCAACGGCCGGCCGAGCAGCGCATTAACGGCGGAACCGACAAAAGAGAACGCGGGAGACGTGCGAATTTCGTGATCGTGAATAGAGCTGCAATAACACTGCGTCGCGGCGTTTCGGCGGTTCCCCTCCCGGTTCCCTTTCTCCACTTTCGTTCGTTCTTCCCTCCTTGCGCAACGCCACGCAATTCCGTCGAATTTTCTCGTCGTTCGCCAAGTCAATCGCGAACGCGAGCGCTAATGCGAGCGCGCTTTTATATAACACGCGGCGTGCCGAACGGCGCGGATTATTCATACGCTCAAATGTCGACCCGCTAAGAATCGAAAAAGTAGCCGAGACCGCGTATTAACGAGCGTTACGTGCTACTGGCAAAATTGCCGCGTCGATTTGACGCCGCTCGTGTGTACCGCTCTGCTGCCACTTGTGCGCGCGTGCAAGATGACTTCTTAACAAACACGGCGCCGGTCGCGAGTATCGACTGGCTGAGTATCGCGATTGCGTAAGTCCCGCGCGCGCGCGCGCGCGCGCATTAGAACGGCGTGGTGCAAAAATTCGTCGCGTCTATAATAACGCGCGGATCGGCCCGATGATGACTGGGCAAACGGCCAAGACGGATAATGGCAATCTACTTTTCGCTATTAATGAACGTTGCGTGTTTTACGTCACTTACGATGAGGCGAGAAGCGGCCGGCTCTTGTAATTCGCCAGCTGCGGCGCGCGCTCGCGCTATCAATGAAACTCCCGCCGCGCTCGCGAGGCCGCGTTACGAAAGCGAAGAAAAGCGCGAGAAATATAATTAAGGTAAATGCACGCGCGCGCCGCGTAGAACACGATGCCGACTGACTACTCGATTGTAACGAGCCGAGTTTTGCGTTATTATTGGCCATGTTTGTGCGCGCACCGCGCACCGCGCGGCAACGGGGATACCGCTCTGAAAACTACGCACGGACGTGATTGCGGAAAGAAAGGACGAGAAGAAGCACAACTAATCGGAATAACGGAAAAGCTTATTAAATATGAATGCCGCGTCGCGTAGTAACAACCGATCGTCAAATATTAACGAGCAAAGTTGCATCCGCTCCCGCAAATCCTCTTGCAACTCTCGAAAACCTTTAGTCGCAATCGTCGATCCATCCTCCTCCTTCTTGCCCTCCTCTTGCTCCTCCTTCCTCCTCGAATGCTCTACTTTCGAACTTGGGCGATCCGAATTTTCATTCGAAGCGATCCGTACGGTGCAAAACGAACGATCGATCAAAGAAAATAAAACGTCAGACGCGCGATCCCGGACGAATTAAATTGCAAATTGAACGAATTAAAATTACGTGGGTAAAAGCAGCAGAGTCAAGGGCGTTGTGCGCCAGAGAGGGAAGCGTGAAAAGCGAACTGTATTATTTTACGAAATGGCGATCGATTAATCAATGTGTGACGACGCAGGGGAAGTCGCGCTTCCTCGAGATATTAAAAAAGAAAATCGAAAGACAGGGAGAACGAAAATATAGGGGGGAGAAACGTCCGATGGAAATAAAGCGAATATTCCGGGAGAGAAGGTGATTAAATTAAACGAGGAGGCCGATAGGTCACGCTCGAGGGCGATATTTGTGTTACGCGAGAGTGATTAAGACAAACGAGGGGCAATAATTCACGTCGAAGATTTCTTGATTGAGGCGATTGATTTTCTATAATCGCGCGGCGCATATAGGAGACAATAAAAAAAAAAACAAAAAAAAAAACAAAAAAAAACAAAAAAACAAAACAAAACCAAAAAAAAACCAGAGATAAAGAGCGAGATAAAGAGCGAACTAACACCGCCACCATCACTATTACAAAGACGACATTTAGTTAGGGGCGCCCATCTGCCTGCGACGGTGACATCATTGGTATAATTTATTTCGGAATTTCGGATCTTCCGTTCGCCGATATTAAGAAGCGTCAGATGGTGGTCGGATAAAAGAACGGGAAAAATTCAGCGCGACTGGGCGAGAGTACGAGAGGACGATTAAAGGGAGTAGATAGGTAGGTAGGTGAGTATAGCGGTACGTAACGTACATAGAGAGACGCGTCGCGTCTCCGATCGATCCGCTATATCACTCTGCATTCCGCGGAGTGCACACCGACCGCCGGATGGCGAATGCGGGCAATGAGCTTAAGGAGAACAAAGGGAGTGAAAAGTGTGAGAATCGCGGATATGGGAGGGAGAGCCGAGTAGGTTCAAACGAGAGACGAGAAGCCGTCGAAAAGACGGTGCCCGGTTATTCCGATGATATTTCTCGCTCACGCGAGATCACTCGAGGATAGATTCCACCGCGAGGCAAGATCGAACGGGACGAGACGAGACGAGACGATGAGGGTCGGGACGGGACGAGCCGAGGGTCAGCTATACATCTTGCATGGTTCCGCGTCCCTCGGTCGGCGCTTTTTCAAGAATAAACTGTGCGACACGCACGCAGGCTACTACTCGGGGGTGAGTAGTTGTCGACGCTAAGAAAATTGCGAAACCATCTCGGTCAAAGCAAACCTGGTCCCGGCGAGATAGAGCCAAGTTAAATAAGGTCCGAAAGGATCGCGGACGACTTATGAAAGATGCATAGGCGCACTTGGTCCGGCGCTCCGGCCATGCAATATGTAGCGCATCGTCGCTAAGACTGCACGGCGCGCGTCTGCCTGAGAGTTTCTGTCGACGGCGACGAGACGCGACGTGATGCAACGCGTGAAAACGTCGGGAATTCGAAGCGTGTTACACCGACGATGGGACAATGACCTTCGACCCGCTGGATCGCGCGCGGCGACCGACCTGCAATTTTTATCTCGCGTCTCACGTGTGTGCGCGACGCGGAATTGAACGGCCCGGTGATTAAAACGCAAGCAAAAACTGCGGGAACTAATTGCAATCGTGTTAATGAGCGAATTCGCGAGTGAGTTTACGCACCGGTGTAATGGCTGGCTGACTGGCGAGCGGTGAAAACGAACTCGAGACGTGTGCGCCTGCGAAGTTTCGTTTCCGCCGAGACAGAGAATTAAATGCTCGAAACGAGTGAAGAAGGGAGAGTAAGTTTGCGAAGGTGAATAAAGAAAGGAAGCCCTTTTGGAAAGCCGGGGTTTACGGTGTCATTGAGCTTTCAAAGCAGCGCCCTATCTCTTTCTATCGCCACACGCTCGCCATTCGACGATTGGGCGGCTGCGAAGCGAGATGCGAGATACGAGTCGACGCAATGCAGGGACGTGCGAGAGGCAGAAAGTAATGTCACAGAAACGGCCGCGCAGATTCACGAGCGCGAGATCCCTCGGGAGATTTAAGCGCGCGGCATGCTGCGAGAGCGCGTGTTATTATCCCGAATAACGTGCGCTCGCAGTAAATTCACGAGACGGCGAAAATGTCGCTGAAAATCGACGGAGTGGCGCGCGGCGCGCAAAAATCGTCAGCTCCAATGGACACGCGCGACGAGATGACGACGACGACGACGCTTGATGCTTGATGATAGGACAATATCAATTTCGTTCATATACATTGTTCTCGGCTTCGCCAACCAAATGAATCGGCTCCAGCCTCGGGATTCGACTGCTTTCTCGGATGATTTAAGAATCGCTACGTATTCAGACCGCGCAAGCGGCACACAATGCGACGAAATTCTATGAATCTTCCCAATCGACCGCTCGCTTTTTATTACGCCGTTAACGCCGTCATTTTAACGATGCAGGACGCACGATACGTTATTCAAGCGTTTTTCTTGACAGCACAGTGCGCCTCAGTCCTTTAATTTTTCACTTGCGGCAAATTTATGCAGAAACTCGGTAGCCAGCCCTGTCGTGTAAAAGCCTTCCGCGCAAAATTATGACTAGCTCGTCCGGCATCAACGTCACCAATAAAATATTACCGTCGCTCCCTATATATTTCGGACCTTCCGGTCCGGAAGAACCACACACGGTGAAGAAGCGAAGAAAGCGAGATGTATATCGAGAAGTGGAATTCGAACGAAATGGCACATCGGCGAGCACGAGCTTCTTCTCGCGACACGACGCTGCGTTCGCGCGCTCCCGGAAGGACATTTCTCACGACGCTCCGCGAATTTCTGCCCGCGCGACGTGCGTAAGAGTCGAACGTTATGTCGCGAAGCTCACAATTTACGGGACAACAGCGAGAGCTGCTCGCGACGTCCATATTTTTGCAGTTTTAATCTCGACGTGAGCATGCGCGCGCGCGCGCGCGCGCGTACGAGTTTCATACTTTTCCCACGCGTCCCACTTTTCCCATCGCTGTCAAATTTGCATCAGTCGACGTTATGGGCGTATACTTCTCCGCCGTTTCGCCTTTTCTTAATTTTTCAGCCGTGCTACAAACCCGCCGTAAATTCAAGGCGCGCTCGCGCACCCTCAACATCTACGCGTCGTTTCAACCAAACGATTCATCCCTCTCTCTCCTCTCCTTCTTCCATCCCTTGGCATTTCTCGTCATTCCTTTTGCCACCTGCACTCGTCTAAGTTCTCACATGGTCATAATTTCAGTGACGACCACGGAGAAGTTTATTTCCAGCTGAAACTTGTACTACGTCAAAGCCCGCGGTCTCTCTCTCTCTCTCTCTCTCTCTCTCTCTCTCTCTCTATCTATCTATCTATTCATCTTTATCTTTATCTATCCATCTATCTATCTCTCTCCATCTCTCACTTTCTCTTCCGCGATTGGCGAAACTCATTCCACTCATAAAGGATATATTTGACGACAGAATCGTTCCTCGCATCCTGCGCGGTTCCGATTTACTCCCCAATTCGTCGCTAATTTCGCAAACCCGCTTCTAACCCCGGAGCTTTGCCCGGTTCGAGATTTATAGCCGGTTAAAATTTGAGTTATCCTTCAATCCTTCCTTTATTTCCCACCTTTCCATTCGTAAAACTCCCCCGACATTCTTCGCACAACCGCCACCGCCAAGCATATTTTTCCTCTCACGCTTGCTTGGCCGCTCATTCGCTCGCCTTACTTTTTCACCCCCTCCTCTTCCTCGCTTACCCTCGTTTCATTCCTTTCTTTATCGAGGGATGCGCCAACGGAACGTACACAGCGGGCAACAATGCGGTTAGCGGATTCGTATTCAGCAGCGACTGAAAATCGCACGGCGGTAAACAACACGATATCTCGACGAAGCAAATCCCGAAATAAGCGTTTACGCGCATCGCCATACATCAAGCCAGTATAAGAGAGAAAGAGAGAGAGAGAGAGAGAGAGAGAGAGAGAGAGAGAGAGAGAGAGAGAGAAAGAGGGAGAGAAAGAGGGGGCGGAAGCGATTAATTATACCAGAGATAAATTTGAAAAACATTAAACTCTCGACATCGTGTTCGCTTAAGAGGCGTTCAAGAGAATTCGCGCCCGCAGCGACTATTATCCGTTCTGGAATTTCATAGAATACTCTCCATCCTGTTGTTATGCATCTATATACATGCGAAAAACCACAGTTTCAAAGACATTCCACACAAATAATAATATGCTGCAAAGGTCAGCTGGGAAAATTTGCGTCTTACAACCTCGAGCCTTCGCCTACGAGCCGCTGAGAAGCAAATATTAACCCGTCCTTGTCGACCCACCCGGAGTGTCGATCCTTGAAGAGCGCGACCGAAGTCGCGAGACTAATTGGCAGTGAAAAGGTCAATTTCCGAAAGTCGGAAGTCAGCGCTGTCGCGCCAATGAGATATCAATCACTCATTATGGATCGATGGATGATGAACCCATTATTGCGAGGAGTCGCAAAATATTTATGATATACGGATACGACACTCGCGCAAGCGGACGGCCCGCGCGTGTCCTCGCGTCGAAATGGCGAACGTTTTCTCTGCGTGACGGGCATCGCAAAACCACTCCGATATTGGCAAACTTTCCGCGGCGACTGCGTGTTTTTTTTTCCCTTCTCCTTTCCCGTCAGTAACGGCTCTCTCTCTCTTTCTCTCTCTCTCTCTCTCTCTCTCTTTTTCCCTCTCTCTTCCTTTTTCTCTCTTTACGCGAGGGCCAGCCTCGCGTCCAGAATTCTCGGCGGAGATGATATTGGCAAATATTATTCGGCGAAGTACGGCATTAACATTATTACCTGCGATCTACTTCCGAAGGCGGGCGGAGAGCCGCGTTCGATGCGCGGCTATTGGCCACGATATGCGCTTATGTAATAATATGCGCTGGCCGGGGATGACGGAGAGACGCTTTGCTCCTCGAGGAGCAATCTTTTATCTCGCGTCACGTGAGCCGCGCGAAATAAAGGGTCCTCGACGCGTACGTCGGTTGCTGCGAATTACGACATCAAACGCCGCGGCGAACCTCGCGACGATCACGCGCGTACGATTCTCAACGATGCTTTTGTTAATTCGCGGTGTAATAACGACGAGCAAACGGAGAAGTGAAGTGAACAGGATCGCCGTTCACGTCGACTTGTTGACTCCGGGCGTAATCGTAATCGCGTAATGAATCGAACTGAAGGGAATACTTTCCACAACAACGACGACGACGCCATCAATATCGAATTCACGTCCGTCGTCGTTCCAAGATTTATCTCGCCGTCGTGTTTACGTCATGATCGGAATTTCACGTAAGTAGATCGCCGCCGCGGAACCCGTTGGGCAGCCTTTGTAAGCGTCTCGAGTTAAAATTCCCGACGACAAGTCGGGACCCTTTTCCTCTCTCTCTCCCAATCACCCGCCTCGAGTTGTCTCGACGACGAAGTTCTGCG